AAGGGCTCTTCACAGGGACAGCTGACCTGAACAAGGGGTTGCTCATGGACCCCAGACTGATAGCTGGGACACCAGCATAGGATTGATCCAGACCCCCTGAGCGAGGAGGTCAGTTTGGAGGTCTGGGCAATCTATGGGGCCTCTGGTAGTGGATCAGTATTCACCCCTAGTATACTAATGGACTTTGGGAGCCTTCTGCACATGGAGGGTTACTCTCTCAGCCTAGACACCCAGGGAGGGTCTATGCCCTGCTCCAAATGATATGACAGACTTTGAAGATCCCCCATGTAAGGCTTCACCCTCCCCAAAGGTTTTGGGATGGGGGTGGGAGGGCAGAGGAGGAGGGGAGGGAGAGAGGACTGGGATTGACATGTAAAAGATGCTTGTTTCAAATGAAAAAAGAAAGAAAGAAAGAAAGAAAGAAAGAAAGAAAGAAAGAAAGAAAGAAGGGTTCTTTGTGGACCAGTAATAACTGTGTTTCCTGAAGCTTCAACTTGTTCATTTACTACCTCCAGAATGCTTGAATTAGATTAGTAGTGTGATTGTCAGTTACCGTTGAGTGAGATTAATATGTTTGAGGCCATTGGTATGGCACTAATGTAACATGATTTATTGCCTAAGTACTTGAGCCCAGAACAGCTTACTAAACAACAGTAATTTTGAGCTGTTACTGTGCTGATTTTGAGAAGTAAAGTTGGTAGTGCATTCTTGTTTAGGAGCCCTCAGGATGTTTCTGATTTCAGCAGAGCGTTCTATTTCTTTCACCAAAAGGAGAGTTTGAATATGTAATCTCAAGCTTGGTATAATTAGTTCTGATGACAGTTAAATACCTCAGCCAAGACTGTAAATCAGCAGTTAAACTCTGATTTTTTTGCAACTGATCATAAATCTCAAGCATTGTGTTTTTGGGGTAGGCAGATAAAGTAGGTGCAGGCCTCGGACAGAAATAAAACACCATTGGAACTTGGGTAACAGCTGTAAACCTCACACTTAAAATCTGATACTGCTTGCACCTTTTGTCTGAACTATCTTTGACGTCCTCTAGTAACATAGGTTATTAACGACCAATGAGAAAGTTGAGTCTGTCTGTGTGTGTGTGTGTGTGTGTGTGTGTGTGCGCGCGCGCGCGCGCGCGCGCTGCATACCTGGGTGTTCTTTAGCACTTTCCACCTCATTTGAGATGGGACCTCATTGAACCTTGAGTGAGGCTAGAGCCCATCAAGCCGTGTTCTTGTCTCTGCACCCGCAGCACTGGGGTGATAGACCTGCACATGGCGGTGCCCCCTCCTTCTTATATGACTTTTGCTGGTCCGAGTGCAGGTCCTACTGCTGTGCAGCAAATAATGTTATCCCCGAGTCATCTCCTCAGCCCAAGAAATTAAAATGCTTAAAACATGAATGTATTGCTTTCAGAATGTCTACATTCACTTGCTATGCATTTGGAAATCTATATCTTAATAACTAAATACATAATACAAGGCTGAATTTTCAATCAGAGGGCAATTGTGTGTGTGGTTTTTTGTTTTGTTTTTTAAAACAGTAATAAAGTTTGGGGAAATAAATTGATGCTATGTCCAGTGCCATTTTGAAATGTGGTCATCAAATTCAGAATCTATTGATACAATTCAAGTTCTTTTATGTGTATGTTGGCAGAAGTTGCCTTTATTTTTAGTCTCTGGCAGGGTTGTAAAAACACACTTCCATGTCAATTTAATATTTTTAAAAGCCAACTGTTTATTCATTGGCTTAAAATTAACACTCTAGTAGAGTCTTAGCTCTGACTTTGATAAAATAAATAGCAATATTTAGACAAAATGTACACATGAACATCTTTTTCCAAAAAGAAAAAAAACAATGTAAATTGGTGTTCATGGCATCAGTGCCTTGTAATGTGGTAACAAGCCTAAGAGTAAGCTGTACAGTTGGGGGTCTATAAACCCAGGGCAGCGCATTTTATGTGCTAACCCCACTCTGTGTGTGTGTTTGCATGTGCGCATTCAGTTAGTCAGCTTGACTGAGGACCTGTCTCTACTTCCAGAGTGCTAGGGTTACAGAAGGCTACCATGGCTGCCCAACTTTTACATGCGTTCTCGGCATCTGAACTCCAGGCTTGTAACTTTCAGCACTGAGCCATCTCCTAGGGTCACTTGATATACTTTTATTATGAGTTAATCAGAGCATGTCTTTAGTTTTCAAGCTTAAATTAACTTTAGGCCAGCAAGCACAGTTTCAGTGATATATTTACTCTTTTATTAATGTGTATGTGTACCTTTTGTGGTTTAAAGATTATTTTTGTGCTTTGACAGTTTCATATGTATATACAACATATCTTGATCATGTCCACCCCAACTCTCCCCTCCCATTCTCCTCATGTCCCCCTCACCCTCTTTATGTAAATGTGATGATGGTGGTGATGGCGATGAGGATAACCTACTGAGTCTTATTAGTGCTGCCTAAACACACATGGGTGCGATTCCTTCCACCAAAGCACAGGCAACCTGCAAATGATCACCGACCCAAAGAAATGTCCTCATCCAGCAGCCATCAAAGAAATGTCCTCATCCAGCAGCCACCACCTGCCAAATGCTCTTGGAATGTTGACTGCCTTGATCTTGTGCAGGCCTCATGGGTTCATATGGGCACTGACTGACCTTCAAGTCTAGAAGATAGCACGTTATAATAGCACTGCTCCCCATCCTCTGGCTCTTTGTTTGTTTCACCACCCTTTTCTATAATAGTCACTGAGCCTTAAGCATCTATGCTCTTGACCTTATAAGATACTAAAGTAAGCTGGGCAGTGGTGGCACATGCCTTTAATCCCAGTACTCGGGAGACAGAGGCAGGCGGATCTCTGTGAGGTTGAGGCCCGCCTGGTCTACAGAGCAAGTGCCAGGATAGGCTCCAAAGCTCACAGAGAAACCCTATCTCAAAAAACAAAAAAAAAAAAAAAAAAAAAAGGATACCACCTTGGAGATTGAGTACTTCATAGGTTTTGATAAATATACAGAGCAGCATCCTTTAGTCTGTATTGTTGTATTTCTCCATAATGCCCACGTTGAAGGGGAAAATTCCTCACATACATGTGGGAGTCACTGCTCTTTGCTCTGGAGTTGGGATGAAGTATGTTGCCTCTTTGCCATCTCTCCCTTCTGCCCACTGGAAAATGTTCTGCAGGTGGGTGTTGCTGTTGCCAGGGAGTCTTCAGCTGCCTACTGACTTTGGCAAATCTGTTCTCTGGAACCCAGCTACTGGCTCTGGTGGGACAGTTTATGAAATGCCACAAAATACCTTATGTTTTCAGATCTGCTTGTAAAATTAAGAATTAACTGAGACATAATTACATTTTATTGGTATTAGTAATCCCTTTTTAAATTCAAGAAAAAAGCAATAAAATTTTCCAAGTGAGATGGCATTTTCAAGCATTGGGTGTTTAGTGTCATGTCTTACATTCAGATCAGACTTCTTAGGGCGATAATATTCAGGAATGAAAGGGAAGTTCAGGGGCAGTGCTTCTACTCCTAAATGCTCCTGTGCCAGGTTTCTCCCTATGTCTGAGCAATTGCTGCCTGCCATCTCCCGAGTTTTTTTGCCACCTCTTGTTAAATTGCCGTGAGGGGCTTGCTCAGTTACAGGTCTGGAATGAGGTAATCCCTTCCCACCTCTCATTCCACAGGGTGTGTCTGTCCAGTTATTACTTGTTCATTGAACCTGGAGTTTTAGAAACCAACTACAATACAAGCTGTAATTATTAATGTCTGTTTCATTTTCATCTGTAAGCTCTGGCATTTGATCAAGAAGTTAATATATCACTTTATCTCCAGGCTAAACGTCTCAGCTCTCGAGGTTTTATTGTTTGATGGATAGCATACAATTATGGCTGCCCAGAAAAAAAGAATTGTATTTATTTGTAAGGTGGATGATACTAGAAGTAATT